GGAAATGGAAAAGATAGAATAGCCAAAACAACTTACAAAAAGAGCAAAGTTGGAGGACTTTCATTTCCTAATTTTAAACTTTGCTATAAAGCTATAGTCAAGATAGTGTGATACTAGCAAAAGAATAGACATACAGATCAATGGAACAGAATGAAGAGTACAAAAATAAGTCTTTGCATTTCTCTTCTTTTTTTTTTTAAAGTAAATTTATTTCAGGTTAATGTGAGGGTACAAACAACCAGGTCAATATATTTAATTTTGTTAGGTAGAGTCCCTCCTGTGGTTATGTCCCCCACAAAAAAGGTGTGCCAAACGCTGCCACCCTGTGTCCATTCAGTGAGAGCACCCCAGTCCCCTCCTCCTTACGCCTCCACCCAACTTGAATTGATATGCATTTTTCTCCTCTGTGGGCAGTCATTAGCTCATCTACTGGCTTCATATTAGTGTTGAGTACCTTGGATAATTGCTTTTCCATTGCTGTGATACTTTACTAAGAAGAATGTGTTTCAACTTGTATTTATTTTCAATTGATTTTTTTGGAAGGTGCCAAGGCATTTCATTGAACAGTAGAGAGTATTTCTATCAAGTGATGCTTGGGCAATTGGGTATCCACACGATGAACTTAGACATTTATTTTATACCTTGCACACAAAAAAAACTAAAAATGGTTCCTAGGCTACATGTAAGAACTAAAACCATACAACTTTTAGAAGAAAACACAGGAGAAAATCTTCGAAGTGAGGCAAAGATTTCTTAGACATAACAGCAAAAACACAATCTATAAAAGGAGGAAAAGAGTGGATAAATTGGACTTCAACAAGATTCAAAATTTTTTTTTTTTTTTTTTTTTTAGACAGGAGCCTCAAGCTGTCCCCCTGGGTAGAGTGCCATGGCATTACAGCTCACAGCAACCTCCAACTCCTGGGCTCAAGCGAGTCTCCTGCCTCCGCCTCCCAAGTAGCTGGGACCACAGGCGCCCGCCACAACGCCCGGCTATTTTTTGGTTGCAGCCATCATTGTTGTTTTGGCGGGTCCGGGCTGGGGATTCGAACCCGCCACCTTAGGTGTACGTGGCTGGCGCCTTAGCCGGTTGAGCTATAGGCGCCTAGCCAAGATTCAAAATTTTTGCACTTCAAAATACAGATTAAAGAAAATGAAAAGACAAAGTTAACAGAGTGGGAGAAAATATTTGCAAAACACATATCTCATAAAGAACTTGTATCCAGCATATATATTCATGTACCTCAATAATAAGCATATAAAAACCCATTTAAAAATGGAAATAATATTTGAAAAGAAATTTCACCCCAAAATATATGTGAATGGCTAGCAAGCACATAGAAAGATGGTCAATGTCATTAGTTATTGGAGAAATTGTTTTAGAGATGGGGTCTTGCTATGTTGCCCAGACTTGTCTTAAACTCCTGGCCTCAGGTGATCCTCTTGCCTCAGCCTGCCAAAATTCTGGGATTGCAGATGTGAGCCACCATGCCTCATTAGAAATGCAAATTAAAAGCACAATACGATACCGTTCCATACCCACTAGACTGGCTGTACATAAAAAGGCAGAAAACAGATATTGGTGAGTATGTAGAGAAATGAAAACAGTTAAGCATGCTAGTGGGCAGCCACTTGGGAAAATACAATAGAACCTATAAGTTGACCACCCAAGAGACTGTAACAAACTGATCACATATGGACATGGTCCCCATACGAAACTAGACCTATTGTACTGATATGTACATGTGGTGCATGTCTGATCCGTGAAAATTAGGTCAACTTAAAGAGGTGGTCAGTGTAGGGAGGTGGTCAACTATGGAGATTCTACTGTAATTTGGCAGTTTCCTAAAAAGTTAAACGTACACTTACCATATGATCCAGCAATTCTGCTCATGGGTCTTTACCCAAGAGAAATGAAAGCATGTCCACATGGACATGGATGCAAATTTCCATAATAGTTTAATTCATAATTTTGAAAATAATCTAAATGTCCATTAACAGGTCAAGGAATAGACAAGATATATTCTGAACAATGAAATATTACTCAGCAAAAAAGAAAAAAGGGACAGACTATTGACACACGCTGTGGCCTGGACAGACCTCAAAACGCTAAACAAAAGAAGCCAAACAAAAGAGACCATAGCTTATATGATTCTCTTTATATAAATGTCCAGAAAAGCAAATCTATGTAGAGAGAATACAGTGGTGGCAGGATAGGGGGTGGGAGATGGGGGCTGACAGTACATAGGAGAGATCTTATGGGGTGATGGAAATAGTCTAAAACTGCTTTCAGAAGATGGTTGCACAACTTGGTAAATTTACTAAAAATCTGAATTGTCCACTTGCAAATGAATGAATTACATAAAATTCAGATATGCCTCAATAAAGCATGAGTGGGGAGAAAGGAGATTGACATTGAGATTGAGACAGAAATGCAGTACCTGTGGCTCAGGGAGTAGGGTGCTGGCCCCATATACCAGGCGTGGCGGTTCAAGCCCGGTCCTGGCCAAAACTGCAAAAAAAAATAAATAAATAAAAATAAAAAAAATAAAGAGATTGAGACAGAAAGAGAGAAAAGAGGTAGAGCCAGAGACTATTTGGGTCTGAAAGCTGGCTTTGCTACTTACAAGCTGTGCAATCTCAGGCAAGTCTAAACTCTCTTTGCCTCAGTTTTCTGTCTGTAAAATTTGAGAAAATAAGAAGTTGCTATTGCCTGACCCCAGTGAGAATAATCCACATCACAAACTCTCAAAGCTGCAGATCCTGGTGTGGATGTGGAGAGAAGGGAACACTTTTACACTGCTTATGAGACTGAAAACCAATATACAACCTTTTTGGAAGGAAGTAGGGAGAATCATCAAAGAACTCAAATTAGACCTCCCATTTGATCCTGCAATCCCATTACTAGGCATCTACCCAGAAGAAAAAATCCTTTTATCATAAGGACACTTGCACTAGACTGTTTATCGCAGCTCAATTTATAATTGCCAAAATGTGGAAACAGCCTAAATGCCCACCAACCCAGGAATGGATTAACAAGCTGTGGTATATGTATACCATGGAATACTATTCAGCCATTAAAAAAGATGGGAACTTTATATCTTTTGTATTAACGTGGATGGAGGTGGAACACATTCTTCTTAGTAAAGTGCCAAGGATGGAGAAGCAAGAATCCGATGTACTCAATTCTAATATGAAGGCAGGAGATGAGTTAATACGAGGGGTAGGCCAGGGGAATAAGAGAGAAGGGAGCAGGTAGGGGGAAGGGAGGTCATGGTGTATGGCACATGCCTTGGGGGTGGGACACAATTATAAGAGGGACTTTAACAAATGCAATCAGTATAACCTAATTCTTTTTTTTTTTTTTTTGAGACGGAGCCTCAAGCTAACCCCCCTGGGTAGAGTGCTGTGGCATCACGCTCACAGCAACCTCCAACTCCTGGGCTCAAGCGAGTCTCCTGCCTCAGCCTCCCAAGTAGCTGGGACCACAGGCACCTGCCACAACGCCTGGCCATTTTTTGGTTGCAGCCATCATTGTTGTTTGGCGGGCCCGGGCTGGGGATTCGAACCCACCACCTTAGGTGTATGTGGCTGGCACCTTAGCTGCTTGAGCCACAGGCGCCGAGCCATATAACCTAATTCTTTGTACCCTCAGTGAAGCTCAAACAATAAAAAAATTTAAAAAATAGATTAAAAAACTAAGAAGTTACTGACTACAAAGAAGCATTGGAAAGACTGTGGTAATCTGTAAAGTGCTTACTGAAGAGTTTGGACCATAGAAAGAGCTCAGATATCAGCAGTACTTAACCCACCATGGTCCAGGTCTGATTTGGTTTTAGTTCAACTCTTTGAGAAGGCTTTCGGGGGACAATGTTTGGGCCTGTGGAAATCACTCCTGGGGAACCTGAGAGCCTACAGCTGATTGTCATTTGTCAGTCATATGCAGACTGGGGGATTGGCGCATCTGAGCCTCACAGATGAAGGCGGTTTCTTTACGGCAGCAGCATTTACAGAGGTGCCATCCTGCTGCCCATGAATGTGGCCACAACATAGGACATTTCAACCCCAGTCCTGCAAATATTTAGGTTACGCCCACTCCCTGCTGGGTCCTTGTAGGTGATTTGGAGGCACGAAGGAGGGGCACCTTACCTGTCTGTGCAGCTTTGTAGAGTGTGTGATGTCTCAATGTGTCTTAGAAATTACCCAGGTGAAGGGCTGAGGAGAGATAGGCAGGAAGGGTACAACTTGAGGAAAGCCCAGAGGCAAAGAGGGAGCTTGCTGAGCTCAGTGACATGCTGAGATGTTGTAGAAAGCAGAGTGACACCGTGCAGGGTCCCATGGAGGGGCCTTGGGTGCCGTGATAAAAAAAAAATATTTTATTTATGGCAAGGACAGTGAGCACCCAGTGGAGATACCGTCTAGCTCAGATATCTTCAGTGATTTGGTCCCAATGGTATCTACCCACCACACCTTGAAAAAGGCTGCTCTTTTGATCAGAAGCAAATGTTAATAAATGCCGTCCTAGGTGGCCTGCTTTTGTATTTATCCCACTCAAGTGCAATTGTTCCTCCAGGGACCATGTCCGTACTAGTGCCTGGCTGAAAAACTGTTCCATGGCTCCCACGAGGGGGAATGAAAGCCATGAAGTGGTGGCTGAAAGCCTGTCTGCAGGGCCAGACCTCAGAAAAGCAAAGGACTTGTAAATGTTTCATAAACTCCTCTCTGGGTGCCTGCTCTGGCTGAGAGCCCATTCATAAGCCAAGGCACCGAGGGGCAGGTATTGTGCCGGTTACTATAGCATCACCTTGGAAAGGCTGCTTCGTGGGAGCCACCAGCGAGCTGAGCTGGGTGGGCCAGGCTGGGGAAACGATTGGCAGTGGCTGGAGGGGCTGGAGCGAGGCTGCAGATGCTGCTGCGGGTCTGGGGACTCCTCCTGGACTGAAGCCCATGTAAGCTCTTCCAGCTGCATCCCAGGGAGGGAGAGAGGCTGCGCTCAGTCTGAAAGTGGCTGCCTGAGACAGCGGCCACAGGCTGCACCGAGCTGGTAGCTTTTGCAAGGGGCTGAATTCCCAGCCAGACGCTCACCCTTTGGCCTCTTCTTTGAAGGGTGGGGAGAGAGGAGGAAGTTGTCTCATCTTGGAAGATCTGGCCTGGCCTTCGTCTCTTTTTTGATTTGGAGTAGTTACCTCCATGGGAACTGCCTTCCAGGTATTCATCAAAGGAAACGGAGTGGTCCCCACACTGGAAATGAGAAAGGATGACAGTTTCTGAGAGTGACTGTTAACGGCTCAGAGGTGCCTTCCCGGTTCAAAATGCCTTTTAAAGCATTTGACACCTTCAAAGAAAAATTTCTGAAACCTGGGAAAGAAGGAGTGAAGAATGCCGTAGGAGATTCCTTGGGGATTCTGCGAAGGTAAAGTTTGAATGCAAACTTTGGGTTTATTTGAGTAGCCTCGTATTGCCAATGTGGGAGAGATTTCGTATCATGTTTTTAAAGCCGTGCTTTAATGAGGAAGGGGATGGTCAAATTAGATGGCTTCTGTAGCCCCTTCCAGCCCCAACAATCTATGCCTGGAGGAAAAAAATGATGCATTTAAAATATTGGGTTGAATTAGGAAATTACCAAGACGTAGTCTGTTTAGAAAGCAAAATTGGCACTTTCTGCAGCTGGTGATATTACTGCATATGGTATGTTGGGCATGGAATTAGAAGATACGAAAGGAGATAATATTTCATGTTAATGCAAGAGTAATAACAAATCCAGTTAGGCTTTGAGCTGAAATAAGTTTTAAGTGTTTTTTACTATTTTTCCACTATGAATAAAAATTAAATATTTGTATTTTTTTTTTAGCTTGTTAAATGAAATCTATAAAGTGGTTTCTAGTGGTATGGTTTTCAAAGAGAAGGATAGTTACCCAATAGTTTGAAGGAGGTAACTTAAAATAATAATATTCTTTGTCGGAGAAAATCTCACATGATTGCAGTGGGCAAATATGAAGTGCTATCATTGAATTGAATGGGAGCTTAGTCCAAACCAAAAGCAAATTAAAAGAAAAAAATTCAATGGAACATTACTGGAAAGAAAAGGCACCCTAAATGAATGAATTGCTGTGACATTTTAATTTGTGGATTTTGCAGACATAGTTAAATGCCTTCTTAGGTTTTATAGGTGAGTTAATAAGCAGTCCTTACGTGCAAGGTAAAATGACTTGTTTCTGTGATATAAAAAAATGCAAAAACTATGCTGGATAAGTTGTTTTATGTGTCTGAATGATTACTTCTGATCCTGGTTAATGAAAACACCACCTGGTATCTCCTTTTAACTTTTCTGTGAAATCTCTTAAATTTAAAAACTTTTGCATTTAAAGGACTATTTCTAGGCAACCTAAGATTCTACCCATTTCTTGTGTTTCATAACACAAGTACCCCGGTCAGGATCAAATTTTCCATTGTTCCACTCTTGATAAGTTTTCATAATAAGAGAATAGGGTTGGGCACCTTATTAATTTGGTAATGAAAAACAAAAAGCCTTTGGTCAGATCTACGCTGAATTATCAGGTACAGATGAAAACCTAGCACAGTCACAGGGCTAAAGATAGAAATTGATTACAATAACATTTTTGAAAAGAGCGTTTATCTTTCTGTGGAGCGCTCCCCAGGTAACATCTTACTGTGGTGGCGTTCCTTTGATTAGAAATACAAAATTTAGGCTCGGCGCCTATAGCTCAACTGGCTAAGGCGCCAGCCATGTACACCTAAGGTGGCGGGTTTGAATCCCCAGCC